CCAAAACTAATATTATGACATTCAAATATTCTATAGATAATCTTTTACTGTGTCCACAGGTTATTATCGAAAGTGAACCTAACTGTAAATTTCTTGGGCTACATATTGATGACAGATTGAAATTTGATAGCCATGTGATAAACCTGAGTAAAAAACTAGCATCAGGATGCTTCGCTGTTAGAGTAGTTGCAAATGAGTTAGGTGTTGCTGTTGCAAGAATGGTATATTTTGCGCTGGTGGAATCGCATTTACGGTATGGGGTCACTTTCTGGGGAGTTTGTAACCAGCAATTATTTAATTCTATATTCGTACTACAAAAAAGGGCTATACGATACATGTGTAAAGGAAAATTTCGCGATCACTGCAAGCCCTTGTTTCAGGCTCATAACATTCTCACATTACCATCTATCTTCATCCACGAAACTGTTTGTCTGATACACAAAAAATATTCTGAAAACGTAAGCACTGAAGCACGTTATAACACCAGGAATACATCCCACTTGAACCTGCCTATCCCAAATTCTAATCTCACGAAGCATTCGATCATCTACAATAGCAGAAAGATGTATAACCATTTACCATTAGCCATAAGAACTATTCCTCTACTCAGTAAATTTAGACAGGCTGTGAAAGAAATATTAATGAAAAAAGCATATTATAATCTCCAGGAATTCTTCAACGATAACGATCTCAACTGAGAGTACGCGATAGTTTTTAATTTGATGAGACATCTTGATTCAAGTCTTGATTTTATGTATATATAGATATAGATAGATATATTATAATTATACATATGTTTTATTTGACCATATACATTGTTGTGATATATTATTTTAATTATGTTTGTATTAATTTTATGTTTATATGTGTGTTTCTTTACTTCACACTGTTTTTATCTTTCGTGACGTGTCTTATTTATTATAAGACTCTAAATGAATATGTATGAATTATCTTTGTCGATAAGAAATTTTTTCTTTGACAATAAAGTATATTTTTGATTGATTGATAGGGATATTTCATTCATCAAAACTGCTCATGAATTGATTAGACATGACGAAGTGATGAAAAAACAACTTTCAGAATTTTTAACGAAAACGAGGAAATCGAATTCAAATTATACAGTTTCTCTGATGAATACGTTGGGTTGATAGGTGCACACTTCTCACCAAACTAAACGCAAACATCGATCTTGAAGCTAGAACACTGATTACAAAAAAAATCTATCATTCAAATGATATATCAGAAATCTCCTGAAATACCTGGAATTGATGAAGCCCTTTCAGAACAACAAAACTATCATTATTTCATAACAATATTTCCAAGATGACGAGCAATCGTGAAAATTATTGTGAAACAAATACGGAGAATAGCAATAATTATACATAAAAAATTCTTGAGTGACGAAGGAATGCCTAATACTTCAGTGACAATAGGAAAATATTTTGCTTCAACGATGATAACTGACTCAGAGAAGATACCAAAACATATATAATTTCATTATAAATATTATAGAAACAAACTTTTTTGAAAAAATTTTAATTGACGGATTTTCAACTGCTGATATTTCACAGGACGATTTATTGAAATGTGATCTGAAGAACTTAATGATCAATTATTGCAATATTGAGAATGAAAAGAAGGAAAGAAGCATTTCTTTCAAGATACAGAGATATATTCTACTATGAAGAGATCCCCTTGATATTCACAAACCTGATGAAACATCAAACTCAAACGAAAGACAAGAATCCTATTGCCATATAAACCTATGTATACCTGAAAATACGTGATAGAAGAGTAAAAATCGAATTGAGAGAATGTTAGAACAAGAAATAACTCAATCGAAAAGGAACATTCTCAGATAAATGTATGAACACAAAAAAATGGATATATATATATATATATAAAGAAATACATTGAGAATTCGCATTCTCCATGTGATGAATATATCAATCCTTTCACGGTTTATTCAACAGAAAACATTTACTTTCCTGGCTACATGCCACGACGAATATTAAATAACATCTATTGAACACACACGATGAGAATTTGGAAACAAAATCTTCTGAAGTAGAGAATTTGCATTCTCTTTCATATAAAGATATGCATATAATACAATTCTGAATATTCAACAGAAAACAACAACTTTCCTGGCTATTCGCCACGTCGAACATTGAATTATATCTGTTGAATATCCAAAAAGAGAGCATTAAAAGATTGTGATCTCAAATTCTCATTGTGTGTGTTCAATAGATGTAATTCAATATTCGTCGTGGCATATAGCCAGGAAAGTAGTTGTTTTCTGTTATTTAAACCGTGAAAGAATTCATATTTTCATCACATGGAGAATGCGAGTTCTCAATGTATTTCTTTATATACAGGGTGTTTCACAGGTAAAGGGAAATATTTTAATGGAAGATAGAGGTCACCAAGGTGGTTCTAAAAATGCCATATTTGATAGGTCTCAGAGTGTTTATAATGGAGATACAAGGCGATTCATCGATTTCGAATAATTATTCATTCGTCTTTATGTATTGACCTACCCAGTATATTTTTCTCAAATTTGGTGAGGAGCTCATACTTGGGACGTTGAATTCATCCACCTATCGGGCGGAGTGGAAATCTGGGTTCGGCTCCAGGAAAAAGGAAAAGGAAGGTTTTGAAAGACTCACCAAACCTATGACTATTTGTTTACAAAGGATTCCAGAGTGTGCCATACTCATGAATTTATGAAATCTTCTGGAATATGTTGGAATATTTTGAGCAATCAACCTATACTACAATTCCCAAATTCTGAAACACTATTCATTGCAACCACTGATGCTAGCAATTCCTTCATCGAAGCAGTGCTCTCTCAAGGATGAATATTCAATAATAAAATAGTTGCGTATGCCTAACGAACTCTGAATGAAACATTGCCTAAATACTCAACTATTGGAAAACAACTCCCAGCTACGGTTTGGTCTTGTGGATATTCTCGGCCACATTCCTAAAGAAAATTCTTGTTTCATACTAACCATAGTTCTTCAGTATGGTTATTCAATTTGGAAGAACCTAACAGTAATTCATTGGGATATGATAATGAATTTATTCATAAGATGAGAAATTATAACGGAAATGCAGATGCACTTTCCATGATTCAAATTGATGTCCTTATAAACGAGAGTATTGTTGGGACCCTGCTTGACATTCGAGTCCAGGAGTAGAATTGAGATGGGAGAAACATCGAGGAAATTGTTTCAGGCAAACTTGGAAGAGATTATTGGACAAACCCCTCAGAAAGAGTTAACCGCAGAGACATGTTTGGATCTTTCGGCCATCATCAGTACTGTGAATGAAAGGCGAGTGATAGGCAACACTTAGTAGTAGACGTAACAACAAATCCACGAAGTCAACAAACAGGAACCAACCGAATAGTTGTGGTTTTGGTCAGGAGACCCTGCATTTTCAGGGCTACAATCAAAGTCACCACGAAGGCAGCTACAGCTGACCGAAACCACAATTGTGCCGCTGGGTTCTGTTTGTTGCTCTCGTGAATTTGTTGTTACGTCTTCCACCAAGTGTTGCCTATCTTTCACCCTTCTTTCACCGTACTGATGGGGGCCGATGGCTCCAAACACGTGTCCGCCGGTGACTCTTCCTGAGCGTTTTGTCCAATATTTTCCCAACTTGCTATAAACAGTTTCCTTGAAATTTTATTTTCATCAATTCTACTCCTCGACGCGGATGTTACGCAAATTGCTATAGCTGCCTCCGCTGTAACGTCAATTGTAGCCCTGGAAATGCACCAGACAACAATTGTGCAGCTGGCTTCTAATTGTTGACTTCTTGGATTTCCTGAAGGCTATGTCCAATAATCTCTTCCTTGTTTGCTCAAGACAGTAGCTTCGATATTCCTTGCATCCTTTGTGAATTCTTACACATTTTTCATATCTGCTGAGACTTATGAATATTCATTTGATACTTTTCCAATGGAGAGTATGATAACTCATTGATACTCATAGTCTCCTGAAACCACTAGTTCCTGATACAAACTCTCATATACAATATTACATATACATTACATATACGCTTATAAATTACTTACTCATACTCATCAAATATTATCAAACCTTCCAGGAAGTTCATGTGCCAGAAATGAAGTACTCATACGCTACTGAACACGGTTATACATCCTCTTAGATACTCATATTTCATACATATTTTTCATGATATTTCTAGCAGGGCTCGGTGTCTGTGATTAGAAATGATAGCCCTGATCGATTTCATTGAATTAAATGAACATAGTTCTCACACAAAAATAGACTCGCCGAGACGTAGGTATCCTGTCGACACTTCTTCTCTGAGAACTCTTTTTGCTTGTAGTGGCGATTGTTTTGGGCATGACCGTGAAATCAGAAATTCGATCTATTGCATTTCAAATGGTGAAACCTGTATAATGTAACAAAACCGTCCAGAAACTGGGACAGTAGAGTCGGGATATGTCGATACGTTCTTGCATGAAGAGGAACTAAGCGTTATGATCCAACATATGAAAAAACGATAATAACCCTTGAAAAAATCCATTATGACCACTACATCACACATATTCATTTGGATTCTTCGAATGTTCGATTTTATGAATTGCAAGGTTGAAATGGATGAAAATTTCTTCGTAGTCATTTAATTAACTAGTGCTTTTTGAGAAACAAGCAATCATGAAATGACGTTATCCAACTGACTTTGTATCATGAATTGATGATTGCATGAGCCTTCCTTCTTACTCATGAGTTCACAGCTTGGTTATCAAGGATATAAATGCATTGAAACTTCAATTCACTCTGAAATAGTGAATGCAACTAGAATTGTAAGCCTCATACTGTTGAAATTGAAACGATTGAATATCAAGATGTTGTTGATTTCTTCAATGAATTAATTTACAATTTTGCTGCTCATATCAGAAATCATTTATTGGTCAATATACGGTGAATGAAATAATCCATACAATAGTGTCAAGAACTCACCTGAAATCTTTTTTCTCCTACTGGAGGCTCACCATATGGAATATCTTGAAAGGCGTAGTATGTGTTTCCATTCTCGCTCGTCAGAGTATGACCTCGTATCAAACTAGGTGGTTGGTTCAGCTTGACAATCAAATCATCAGCACTCTGCAAAGTCGAGTGTTAGTAGATATGGACTCATATCATTCAGAATGAGTAGGATTCAAATGAATAGTGTACAGTATGTCTGAGAAGGTCATATCGTGTATGATAGATAGGGCTGATAGACTAAGCGTTTCAAATGTTAGTACTCCCTATAAAAAATGTGTTTGTCGCAATTCGTTATGTGATTAATAATCTTCATACACAAGGTGCCCATCTGGATTCACATTTTTAATTGCCTCACTCATTCATTAGAGTTTTTATTCTCTTTCAAACGGTTGGGATGTACCTATGTTCTTGGAATACTATTTTTTCTCGATCTGTACAAGATATTGATCTAAATGAAGTATACGATTTTTGTAGAATGAGTATGAAGGTATCCAACGTTGAAAGGAAAATGTTTAATTCGTCATATCTGTCAAAAAATCCTACATTGAACGAAGATGACTCCTATATAAAACATAATCACTAGGAAGCAGTTTGCATATATGAAGGAGCAGTATCAGTTGATTTATTTGTATGAATATCATTTATACCATATGACAACCGTATACATATACCGGGTGTCCCAGTATACCTGTTCCAATGAATTATCTCAGCCATTTCAAAAAATGAAAATTTGAAAATTTCATAATCTTCAATTCGTTCAAGGAAGCTTCAACTAGGAAAAACAAAAATGGAAAGACACGTCCGGTTTGACCGGAAGTGACTCTAACTTTTGTATTTCAAATAGCACCCTGTATATTTTTTGCAATTTTTGATTTCTACTCAAGATTACCGTTCCAACGATGTATCACACTTCGTATTTAAAATTTGGTTTGATGGAGAAAACGACATTTGAAATTACAAATTGAACGAATTGCAGTAGACTACGATATTTTGGTAATCTTGATTTTGACTTCAATAATAATTTCAAATTATTGGAATTGTAGTAGATCATGTAATATTCAAAATTTCATCTTTCGAAATGGCTGAGATAATCTATTGGAACAGGTATACTGGGACACCCGGTATATATGGAATACATGTTTCTTATCCAAACTCTAGGAATAAATGAATCCGTAACGAAGAGTGATATACATTCTCTCACATGCAGTACTGACATCAATTTGGCTCACACTATCAGCCTCCTCATTGAATTCATGACAATTTTAGACACCCTGTTTGCATATGTTTGATAACTCAGATGTATATACAGCTAATAATTTCATCTTCAGATTCACAGATCTGCTGATGAGAATTCGTATTTGAATATATTTACTCGTGTTATTGGTTTCTAGAATCTGAAGATTTAGATAAAGGGTGAGTAGAAGATAATTGGCGCAGCAGGTGAGGTGACTCAGTGCGATATTTTCGCAGCTGCTAGAGTCACCCTGCCCCGATATACTGTGAGTCAACTAGGATATGGTCAGATCGTTAATCAACTGTGGATGTTGTTCAGGATAGAGCGAGCGAGGATGGATTCATTAATCTATCAGGCGGAATGAAAATAATACCAAATAATTAAAATTCGATAATTCACCTTGTATCTCTGTTATAAATACTATGAGACTTTTCCTGAAGCTGAACCTGTATTTCCATTCTGCCTGATAGGTCAATGAATCCATCGTCTGAAGTAAACTCAATACCAAATTTGAGAAAATATTACTGGAATGGGTGTATCTCTGTTATAAAGACTGTGAGACTCAGTGAGTTCTTTCGAACGATCATTTAACTAGAATATATCAAATCATCATAATTGATAATGGTTTCATAATTTTAATACTCTTCAAATTGACACACTTTTAGCTTTCTGTTTATGATTGTTACGATGAGAATTGGTGACGGGAAAACAGAAAGCATCGAATTCAGTTAAGTTGTTCCTCCTCTCCACGATTGCTTTGATGAACTCTGTCAATCATTACATACAGTGTGTTATTTTAATATTTCGAATAAATGTATATTTTCCCTGAAACCGAACCTAGATTTCCAACTCGCCCGATGGGTGAATGAATTCAACGTTCCAAGTATAAGCTTCATACCAAATTTAGGAATAATGAACTGGGTAGTTCAATACTTTCAGACGAATAAATAATTATTTGAAATCGACAAATCGCCCTGTATCTCCGTTATGAAGACTCTAAGACCTATCAAATATAGTATTTTCAGAACCACCTTGGTGATCATCAAATCATCAGCACTCTGCAAAGTGAAGTGTTAGTAAATATGGACTCATATCATTTAGAATGAGTAGGATTCAAATTAATAGTGTACAGTATGTCTGAGAAGGTCATATCGTGTATGATAGATATGGCTGATAGACTAAGCGTTTCAAATGTTAGTACTCCCTATAAAAAATGTGTTTGTCGCAATCCGTTATGTGATTAATAATCTTGAATCATTCTATGAGTTCATACACAAGGTGCCCATCTGGATTCACATTATTAATTACTTCACTCATTCATTAGAGCTTTTATTCTCTTTCAAACGGTTGGGATGTACCTATGTTCTTGGAATACTATTTTTTCTCGATCTGTACAAGATATTGATCTAAATGAAGTATACGATTTTTGTAGAATGAGTATGAAAGGTATCTAACGTTGAAAGGAAAATGTTTAATTTGTCATATCTGTCAAAAAATCCTACATTGAACGAAGAAGATGACTCCTATATAAAACATAATCACTAGGAAGCAGTTTGCATATATGAAGGAGCAGTATCAGTTGACTTATTTGTATGAATATCATTTATACCATATAACAATCGTATACATATACCGGGTGTCCCAGTATACCTGTTCCAATGATTTATCTCAGCCATTTCAGAAAATGAAAATTTGAAAATTTCATAATCTTCAATGCGTTCAAGGAAGCTTCAACTAGGAAAAACCAAAATGGAAAGACACGTCCGGTTTGACCGGAAGTGACTCTAACTTTTTTATTTCAAATAGCACCCTGTATATTCTTTGCAATTTTTGATTTCTACTCAAGAGAACCGTTCCAACGATGTATCACACTTCGTATTTTAAATTTGGTTCGATGGAGAAAACGACATTTGATATTACAAATTGAACGAATTGCAGTAGACTACGATATTTTGGTAATCTTGATTTTGACTTCAATAATAATTTCAGATTATTGGAATTGTAGTAGATCATGTAATATTCAAAATTTCATCTTTCGAAATGGCTGAGATATTCTATTGAAACAGGTATACTGGGACACCCGGTATATATGGAATACATGTTTCTTATCCAAACTCTAGAAATAAATGAATCCGTAACGAAGAGTGATATACATTCTCTTACATGCAGTACTGACATCAATTTGGCTCACACTATCAGCCTCCTCATTGAATTCATGACAATCTCAGACACTCTGTTTGCATATGTTTGATAACTCAGAGGTATATACAGCTAATAATTTCATCTTCAGATTCACAGATCTGCTGATGAGAATCCAAATTTGAATATATTTACTCGTGAGTAAATCAGCTACAAGAGAACACCCGCAATTTTCAAAATTCTAAGTCCTTTTTCCCCAGATTCTACGGAAATTACAGTGTTGCATGGAGGAAAGCCCCATAAGAGCCCATGTAAAGCAGACTAGATTTTTCCGTAGATCTACGGACTTTTTCAGCGGATTTTAAGGTCCATTCTGCAATTTTTTACTCTTTCAAGGTCATCCGGCTCCAACGCTAGCCCGAAGCTGCTGATAAGAATAGCGATACGTGACACTTCCTTGACACTTCATATAGATAGTCGCTTGCATGTTATACTATTTTCTCTGCTAGCTAGTTTATAGTTAGATTATTCGTATGATGACGTCATCGTCGATCCAATTTATATTTAGAATTGAATAAAAAAAGTGTTGGGTCTGTGTTGGGAATCGATCTCGGGTCCCCGGGTCGAGAGTCCGACGCGCAGCCATCAGAGCCACGACCACCACATGATATTAATTATAGTTTGGAATGTTACATGCAGCATTGGAGCAGACCGGCAAGCACAAGATCCCTTACGATGATTACGCTATGCAACATTGTTGTTGCGATTACCACGCGCGCATTCCGGTAGATTGAAAATCCTTATCGCAATTAACGAAATAATATAAATTATGATGAAATATTCACATAAAGTTGTTATTCTGTATACCGTCGCTGGCGCGCGCTCATCTTTGCAACGGATCTGTAGAGGTAGAGCAAAGCGAGAGATGCGTTCCAGAGATAAGAAACTTCGAGTCGAAAATAATATCCATCGCTGGCGCACGCTTATCTTTGCAACGGATCTATAGAGGTAAAGCAAAGCGAGAGATGCGTTCTAGAGATAAGACGGTATTATATCGAAATAAATTCATGGTGAAATTTTTCTATGTTAGTTTTATCGACAATATACACACAACACCAAATGAAGCTTCCGCTGATAAGAGTCGTGTGCAGCGATAACCGTCACATTGTTGGAAATTATTATTTATGAAGTCGATAAGGTGTTGTCAGATTTTCAAAAAATATCTAATGTCACGTAATACATGACATATGACGTATGACAGATGGTGTTTGCAATATGATGTATGTGGGGAGTGGAAGAATGCGAAAACAACTATATATTATAATGAATTATTTTATTTAAGTAATCCTTTTCTACAAAAATGACATGCCTCTTGAGAAGATGGCGGTCCATCCCAGTGTGTGGTCCAATCGGGACGATTATAATGAACGAAGCATGGCAGTTTAATTTGTAGGTTAAAGTTGCTGCGATATTCTTGAGGAAGTTTGTGCCACACCCCTAATAGCCCATAAGGATCTGCATATTCAATGAGACATTCTACTGGAATGTACTGCAATTCTTGTTCAGTGAATTTCGTCAGAGTCAAAGCGGGAGATTTCATAAACTCCAATAGCACAGCTATTTCAGACTTCATGATTTTTCGAGCAGAGCTAAAATATTTCAGATGCTACTAGTCTCGCGTCAAGTTGTATACTGATGAAATAAAAAAAACAAGTCACATATTTCACAACATTTTATTCAAATC